CCAGCAGGGAATGCTTCAATTGGGAGAAAATAGCTACACAACAGCAATATAGATGGTATTCAGCACACAAGACACATTAGCTGAAAACAGACCATGTGAAACTTGAAATCAACCAGTGCCCAGAACACCACGAACAGAGCAAAGGACATCTTTGTTTGTAAAGACAAACTACACAATTAATAATTAGCCATTGTCCCGGCATCTATTGCTCCATGTATCAGAGCAAGCAGCCCTTTATCCCGAACTACCTATGATCAGCCATAGCAAAGGCAGTACAGCAATGTTCTGAAAAAGTGGTTTTCTGTGAACAGCTCCTTCCACTGGAGGTGAAAAGAACCCCAGAACAGCAGGGGCCTCCCTCCTAGACCCCGGATTAAGGCACAAACCACACCCAAACACCTCTTTCCACAGAGACAGCCTTTATTAAGCAGGGAAGAAAAATTACAGTGGCTGCTGTCTGACTCGGGCAGAAAACAGCAGCAAATGACCTTGCAGGTGTAATGTTTAAAAGGAGGAAAAGGGGAGGTCTGTGTGAAAATGGTCTAGAATGCAGTGGTAAAGGATATAGGGGATGAGGGAGAAGGGACAAGGGACAAGGGAGGGACAGAGGATTGCCTCTACATAGAAGAGAGACAGACTTTGGTAGTCAGCCTCAGAAGGAGGGACTAGACCTTGGTTGCTAGCTTTAGGAATGTAATCTAATGTTTTTTTAGCAAGGCAGAGTGAATGGGGGAGAAGGGCAAAGCCTGTCAGAGTCACATGTTCAAGTGGGCTGGTGTCACTTCCGGAAGTGTGGTACAACCCATTTGTGTTGGGAAGCCATGTAGGTTCCTCATTTCTGCCTTCTGTCATTTTGCATATTTTAAGGACTATGTGTTTGCTTGTAGACAGGGTCACTCTCTACCGCAGGCTGACCTGGAACTCACTATGTAGCCAAGGATCATGTGTCATCACGGTGATTGTTAAGCCTTGATGTATATGTTCACAAATAGGCTGTCCATGACGAGGAGGAACCTGCTGGTGTCTTGTTCTTCCCACCCTTGAAGCTGCCACTAATCTGATTTCAAATTTAGAGGTCACTCCACCCCCATCCAGGATCAGAGACTACATGGTCCTCATGTGCAGCAATTTGGAAGATCTTGGGTGCCTTTGGGGTGTAGTCCAAACCTGCACCAAAGCAAAAGGCACCAAGAGAGCAACCGTCTTCTAAAAGGCAACATATGCACCTCTCAGAATTTGTTTTTCCTTCCCCTCTGACCAGTCTGAAGCCCCCTGTAACACACATGCCTTCCTCTGAGTAGGATAAACATGCATCAAAGAAGTAAAGATGAAGAAATGGCTCCATCCTGCATCTTCTGTATAAAGAGGCAGGGGCCTGGTGGAGCTCTCCTGGATGTTGTAAAGACACTGCTCCAGCCCCATACCAGGATGCCACAGGCTGACAGCTTGGAAAAGCCTATAACAGAAATGGACTGTGGGTGGGACCAGGCTATAGTTCGTGATCCTCTCTATTAAAGGCAGGAAAACAAAGAACACAGTGTTAGCCAAGCTCTGATGGAGACCTCAGTGTAGACCCAGGGGGCTCTATGTGGGGTTGCCACCATTGGTAGCAGTAAATTGAATGGTAGAGGTGATGGGTTGGGCTCATGGGATTCAAAGCATCCAAGTGCCAGAATGGTCCACTGTGATCCAGAGACTGTCAAGTCTACCCAGACGTGAGTCTGGGAGGACTAAAATGACGCTGTGTTGTATAATGGGAGCAACGGGCTCAGGCTCCTGCTCCTATCAGCAGGGGAAGCAAGGTTGCTTTATGCTGGTTTACAGAGCTGCATGTTAAATAACCAAGAACTTTGAAATCCAGTGGTTAAACACAACTAATACTAAAAATTAAATTATACCAACTTACAGTTAAGTACACGTATTAAAAACAGAGGTAAGAAAGCCTTAAACTTTATGTCATTGCACTGTTCAACATTCTTTCATGTCTAGGTGACAAAAGAAAGCAGTTCAAAAACCTTCCACCATTGTTGAATTTCTGTGAGTCATGCACATGCTATTATAAGACTACACAGTCCAAGAAGCTGTGCTCTGGGAACACAGGCTGTTCAGTGTCATGTTTGTAGGGCCCGCTCTGCCCTAGAAAAGCAGGTGCTTTATCTGGCAGGAATAGACAACTATTCTATTGTTGGCTTTTGATGAACTCAGAACCTCAGCAACATCACCATGCAGAGGTTTGCAGCATGTCCAATTCGATGCACCACCGAAAGCTTCCATGGCCTTCTTCAAAGTCAGGGTAGACCATGGCCATGGGGCACGCTGGTATCCTGGCACTCCATGCAGAAGCACTCAGTTCGGTAAGCATTGTGTGATGTGGGATGCCCCTCTCTATGCTGTGAATAGGTTTTGCTACCATTGGTTAACAAAGAAGCTGATCTGGCCAATAGCCAGGCAGAATAGAGCCAGTCGGGAAATCCAAACAGATATGGAGAAAAAGAGGCAGAGTCAGGAAGTCACCACGTAGCTGCCAGAGAATTACCAGTAAGCCATGACCATGTGGTGATACACAGATTAATTAAAAAATGGGTTAATTTAAGTGTGAGACCTAGTTAGTCATATGCCTGAGCCATTGGCCAGACTATTATAATTAATATTAAGCCTCAGAGTGATTACCTTGTAAGCGGATGCAGGACTGGGTTGAATGCATAGAAGCTTCCAGCCTCAGGGGTAGGGAAAGCTCCTCTCCAGAGAGCTCAACACACTGCAGTAATTTCCAACAGGAAGAGAACAGCCACTCAGGAAACAATGAGTGGAAGCATGAGCAGTCACATTTCAGCAATCCTTTACCCGCCCCCCCCTTTGGAGAATTTTATAGCACCTGTCCCCCAAACCATGAGCCCTGTGCACTTAAATATTATTGGAGTTTCTTTGTCCCGCCAGGTCCCACAACCCTTCTCAGCCCCAAATAAGCACACAGATGCTATATTGGTTATTAAACTGTTGGCCGATGGCTAGGGCTTCTTACTGGCTAGCTCGGTCTTAATTATTAACCCATTACTCTTAATCTATATCCATGCGGTCTTGGCTTTACTGGAGAATGCCCAGACCTGTTACTCCTTTGCCGGCTATGTGGCATCCCTTTGTGGTCCCTCTCTGCCTACCTTTCCCAGAATTCTCCTCGTCTCCTAGCCCCGCCTATCTTCCTTGCCTCTATTGACCAAACAGTGTTATATTTATCAACCGATAAGAGAAACATATACACAGAAGGACATCCCCCATCGCTTAAAGGTTTCCATCTACAGACAAGGGACAAAGCAGAGGATTCACTGGCCAATATCCACTGCTGTAGTTCAGGAACCCTCAGTTGACAAATGGAGGCAGCCTCTTGGCCAAGTCCATTGGGCCAGATCGACAGGATGAGACAGTGTGTCTTGTGCAATGAAGCAAGTGGAACACGTATGCACTCAGTGACTCAGTGGATTTCCACTTGCTTATCTTGCCCAATGTAACCATGCACAAAAGCCCTGGTCTGAGAAGAATATGGCAACTAATGTGTTGTGTGTGCTACATACCATCTACATTGCTGTTTGTGTAGCTATTTTGGCCTAACTGAAACATTCCCTGCTGGAGGGATGTGGTGGCTCCTAAGACTCAGCAAGGTTTTGAGTCACACTGCCAGGCAAGCCTCCCCCCATACCTGCAGAGGTGACAATTAAGAAGGAATAACATAAGAGCAATGGCTTTGAATATAGGTCACAGCATTGCAAAGAGTCACAAAAATGAGGATCTTTGTTCAAAATCCACACCGCGCACCCTCTCAAGAAGCCTGTGGGGACTATGGCATTTGGCTGTACAGAAAGTAATGGAAGGCTGAACCACAGAAGCTATCGTGTTACCTTTCTCATAGACTATCAAGAGGAGTCTGAGCAATGGCACCTTCAAGGTTCTACAGCATTGCCCAGGGCACCTTCTTCCTGAACATGACACCACAATGGGCATCTGGGGTCTGGCTGCTTCTCGAGCTCAGGACTATCCCACCTGGAGTTCTTTGCCCTGGAGCTCTTCACTGAACTGGTCACAACCATCTCAGATCTACTGTGTCTGAGCTCCTTTTATCAAAAAGCACCTCCTCCGTTCACAGGGGACAGATACGGCAGCTCCTGCTTTTTCTATACTTTCTTCCATATACCTTTCTTCCCACAGTGAATCTTGTACTCTGAATTCCAGCTTAGAATCTACTTCCTAGACATCCCCAAGTGACTCTTAGACTCACTTGGTCGATAGCGAAGACATAACTACAGCATAGGAGGGGAAAGACTACATTTTAAATAATCAGTGAAACGTAGACCCCAAGCTCCACTCTACACATAGAAATCGGTTGGGCATGGATTTTAGATCTAAGAATAGGTTTTTTAAAGTTATCTTAAATGGGGCCAACAAGAAATGAAAAGTCTGACACATTGGATTTCACCATATCAAGAGTAATTGTTCATGAAAAGACACCATTGGGTGAAAGGAAAACACTGTCTAAGTTTCTTTTCTGTTGCTGTGATAAAACGCCATGACAACAAGTGACTTAAGGGAGAAAGGACTTATGTTATCTCACAATTCCAAGTTTCAGTTCATCACTGTAGGGAAGTCACAGTGTCAGTGGCTTGAGATACCTGGTCATATATACCATAGCCAGAGCAGAAAGGGAATAAATTCATGGTTTCTCTACTTTTATACATTTCAGGAACCCCTAGAACCTGCCTAGAAAATAATGTCACCCACAATTGGCAAGATCTTCCCACATTAGTTAACTTATTAAGATAATCCCCGAAAACGTGCCCACACACCAGCCCATCGTAGACAATCCGTCACCGAGACGCTCTTCCCAAGAAATTCTAGGTTGTATCAAATTGACATTAAAGCTAACCATCACAGACCCTGAATGAGATAAGATGTATTAAATTTATGTCTCCTCCAGAGACCCTATGTCCAGAAAATATAAAGCTACTTACAATTAACTAGAGGAAGACAGCTCGGTTTTAGAGTGTATTCAGTTCCTAGAGCTGCTGTGACAAGCTCCCACACACCTGGAGTTGTGTAGCATTCTTGCTTCTTCTCTCACACAGCTGGAGACCAGACGTCTGAAACGATGCCAAAATCTGGGGTTAGACATCGACCCTTCCGGTGACTGCAGCAGAACCAGTCCTGGCATCACTCAGCTTTTGGAGATCCGTGGGATCCCTTGATGTACGGCCTTCCGTATTGGTCAGCCTCCATCGTGGCCATGGCACCTTCTAGTCTCTCCATGTGGAGCCTGCCCCTCTTCCCTTCTCTTAAACAAAGGCACATGAGGCTGCAGAGGTGGCTCAGTCAGTAAATTACTTGCCTTGCAAACATGAGGACCTCAGTTCAGCAATAAAAATGGCCAGAAAACATACATACAAGTTACATTACACAGACTGAGCATGTTATATTTAGGGATGTATGTGTGTACATGCATGCATATAACAACAATTAATGAAAAAAAAGAGGCCATGGATTTTAAAGAGAGCAAGGAGGGGTATGTGGGAGGTTCTGGAAGGAAGAAAAGAAGGGGAAATGATGTAATTATAATGTTAAAAATAAAAGAAATAATTTTTAAAAAATTTTAAAAACAGGCCAACAAAGGAAAGGAAAGTTTTCCTGATATGGTCCAGTACTAAGGAGGTAAGACAACTGATACCGGGGGCTTGCTGGTCAGCCAGCATGGCTTACTTTGTGAGCTCCAGGCCAGTGAGAGAAAGTCTCTCAGAGGGGAATGGCTCAACAGGTTAAGACACTTGCCACTGAGTCTGATAGCCCAAGTCCCATGCAACAAAGCATCCTTCTAGGAGGGAGAGAACCCAACTGTCCGAAATTTTCTTCTGACTTCCATGTGCCTATTGCAGTGCATGCCCCCACATACATACATACACACACACACACACACACACACACACACACACACACACACTTGTAAAAAGTACCAGAGGTGAACAGAGCCTGAGGAATAACATCCAACATCCTCACGTCTACATCCTGGTTCACCCATGTGCACATGTACCCCACACATATGTGTGTACCTGTCCACACAGAAATATACACACACAGGTGACTGCATTCAGAACTCAACCAGACAGCCCAGGGCTATCTTCCTAACTCTACATCTTTAGCTCATCACCACCATAACAGTCCGTTTTCAAACAAGGAAACATTACAGCTCTCAGGCACCTTGGGGCTGTGATTCCGTCCACGTGAGAGGAAGGACTTTCGTTCCGCTTCACACAGGGGGTGTTCAGATGGCAAACTGTCTGCCATGGTCTTAAACCCCCTCCAGTTCTAAACTCCTGTCATTCTATTAAAAAACGGGGTTTGTAGTTTCACACGTGGTAACCACAACAAGACAGTCGCGATTGCTGTATCGTTTGCGGGACAATTCAGAGAGTTTTAACAGAGAAGTTTACTGTCAGAAATGAGGTGAGGAAAAAGTGAGGGAAGGATGAACTAAAAACAGACCGTGAGAAATGGAGTCAGGGGAGTAAGAAAAAGCAAACACGGGAAGTACCTTCAAATTTCTATGACAAGCCAGGCTCTACACACTTCCCAAGATGGCAACTGTGAATGAATTCATTTCCCTGTTAGAGGTCTGACCATTACTTAATGTGTTGGAAGCCGGAATAAGACCGAAACCAATATACCACTGCCAAGCAGTACACCCGTGAACAGCCTCCTATTCCAAGTATGCCTCTTGGGAGGAGCCCTGAGTTCCTATGAAACAAAGCACATATCACGTAAGATTACTTTAACACAGAGAGATCTCCCTTTCTCTCCCCCGTCTGTCTCATTCTGTTCCTCTCCCTCTTCCTCTGTGTCCCTTTCTCTGTCTCCCTCTTTGTTTTCTTCTCCCAGATTCCCCATATCTTCCTCCACTCCTTCCGACTTCTCTGGCTTCCTTCCCCCACACACACACCTTCCCTCCTCTTCTTCCTCATCTTCTCATCAAGATTACACCACTGGGAGAATCTAATGGTTGACATAGGTCCCCCCCACTGCCACAAACACTCACACTTATAATCTCAGCACTCAGGAATCTGAAGCTGGAAGATTGCCACATGATCAAGGCTATCCTCGGCTACGTAGTGAGTTCTACAGTGTGAGATACCACCTCAAAAAAAAAGGGAGGAGAAGAATAAGAAAGAGAGAGGTGTCTCCTTGTAAATGGGGAGCTGCATCTAACGGGGACTGTGATTATTGAGTAGATAATTTATGGATTCTCTCTCAGGGCTCAGTAAATTGAAACAGGGAACATCCAAATACACCTCCAAGTCCATTCACAAGCATTCTAAACATCTTACTGCAGCCCCAGAGATCTCACTACCTTCACAGAGTAGGTCAGGCCTGAGAGCTAACAAATCCTGGTTAGAAAACGTGCCTGGTGAGAAGGGTATTAAATAAGATATAGCTCACTTAGGTTGCTTCAATCTCTCCCTTTTCAGACATTTCAGTAACAAATTGAAAAGACTTCAGCACATAAATTCCCCTGATGTGTAACATGAGGCATCCATGTGACGTCAGAGGTGGCAGACACTTGGCGTGAGCGAGGCTTGCTGCTGAGCACCCAGCTCTCCACAGAGAACTCCCACATCCTCAAGTGGGAACACAGTGGGGAAAGGCCTGTGTTCTAGAACAAAGAGACGCTGCAGACCTTGGAGTTGGGGAATCTAGGTTCCAGTTCCAAACCTACCTGCTCCGTGCCTATGCCAACACTCCTGTATCTGTAAATGACGGGGTGACTGGACAGCTATGAAGAACTCTGCCTCCTCTGAGACTCAATGGTGCTTGTTCTCTTTTTCACTAAACAAGGTCTTTGTATGCAGCCCAAGCTGGACTCCAACTTGTGACATTTCCAGTTCAGCCTCACTAACGCTAGGTTTACAGGAATGCAACACCACACCCAGATTGGTGATTCCAAGTGTGACCAAGAAAAATGCAGCGGTAACACACGGCTTGTGTTGAGTCCTTACCATCTACCAGGCATTGCGCCAAAATATATATAGACACTGAAGCCTTTAAGGAGCAGTGTGGGCCTGAGGCTCCTACCAGGAAGAGTAGGAATAAAAGCAAAAAAAAAAAATGAAAGCAGAGAGGTCTTCTGGGGTTATTCCTCTAGAGCCTCAAATGTCTGGGATTCGAAGGAATTAGAGGTGCAGCAACACAACTCTGATGTCACTAAGCCCCTCTGTAGCTCTGTGTTTCTAAGTCCCAAATGTGTCACTGCAGATTCTTCCCAACAACAGAAAGAATGTGTTTCTGTCACACAGGGGCTCTCTAGTGGCAGGCACTCTCTGAAAACAAGCCAATTACCCAATGTTACTTTGATAAATCATGCTACACCTAGCATTTTATTATTATATTTCACATATTCTTATGGGTAAAACTTTTGCTTTCATTAAGTCAAAACCCAATTATTTGTCCTTTTTTTAAATGACAGAATACTGTGCCTACACTAAGTGAATGGTAATTTTGTCTTAATTTTCAAAACAACTTCAACATATAAAATATGCTTTCTCCACTCTTAATCCATTTATTCTAAGAACAGAGTTCTGTTTCCTTCATTGTTTCTTTCCATTTGTCCTTCTGACTACCACTGAAAATGGAGGTCAGAAAGACAAACGCCACTAGGATCTATCTAACAATTGACTGGGCAGGTTTCATGCTTTCCAGTATGTGCTATTTTGGTTTGCTGGGTTTCATTTTCATTCCTTTTTGGCTGTGTGTAGTTTCACGATGTGATTAATGACTGAACTCGTTTTTGGTCTCCCTGCAATTGTCTTGAAAATTTGCAATAGCAGATTTCTTCACTTACTATAAATGCAAAACAGAGATGTGATTCTCAATGCAAATGTTGCCCCTTAAAAAGCAAAGATATTTATCACCAACTGCTTTTGTAATCAACTTCTTGTATTTTGCACACAGTATGGTAACTACTAACTTTTGAAAATAAAATATTGTCTCTGATAATTACCCAACTCATAACATCGCAAACTGAACTCATTCTAGCTAAAGATGGCATCACAGTGGAACAGCCCTCTCACTGTGCACACCTTGGAATTCTCCCTAATAAGGGCCATGTACTTGACTAACGACCAGTTTCCCCCTGGGGTACAATGTTAACCAGGCTTCAAATAAACGGATGCATAAAGTGACTGTCGCCAATAAATTGACCTCATATCTGACCTTAGTGGATCTAGATGACAGATCTAATAAACACTAGACGTCATCCCTCTGGATTCTTTTGGTGAGCTACCTGAACGTTATTCTCTGAGTCAACAAAGACCACTGCCTTTCTTGAGTTAGCAGTATTAAAAACCCATCTCATTGTCCAAAACTACAGACCTCCGTGGTGGTTCTGAGCCTGGCTCAGACTTAGATTGGCTGAGCAGCCCCTCTCTGCCTCCAAGAAACATTTATCACTTGGTCTGCTAGTCAGCTTCCATCAGTATGACAAAACACCTGGGAAATGCATCTTAAAATAGGAAAGGTTTACTTTGGCTCAGAGTTTCCGGGGTTCCGGTCCACAGTCAGCTGTCTCTGTCGCTTTGGACCCGAGGCAAAGCAGAATGTTGGAGAGAACCCATGATAAAGAGAGGCTGCTCCACTTGTGGCAGCCAGGAAGCAGAGAAAGAGAGGAGGGAGAAAAGGTCAAGATACACTTTTCTACCAGTTTACCAAGAGTGCCATCAGATTACAAATCCCGCAATAAATTCGTGGCTTGATAAGTCAAAACCCTCATGACCCAAATGTTTCCCAAAGGCCCATCATCTCACAACTGAGCCAAATCCCTGACATGTGCTTCAGGGGCATTTCAAATCAAAATCTTTGGACATGGTACACTGTCTGTCCCTCCTTCCCCACAGTGAAGTTGGCAGTGGGCCATAGAACACAGTACTCTAGTTGGGCACTAGAGAAATCTCAGACCTCAAACCAAAGAGGTACAAATTTTTCAGTGTGGTAGTGCATACATCTGATAGCTTGCAAATGTTAATGCTATTTGACATCCAATTTTCCGATTTTCATTTAACTTTTTAACTCAAGAAACCTGATCAATAGTTACAGAAATTGC